GATATGGCGGGGAATGGTTTAACTGCAAATTTGCAGTAAGAGAGTTTTTGCACTTAACTTATAGGTTCCAACATTGGAGAATGAAATTTTTTGTACTTAGAGGGTTTTTGCACTTAGAGAGTTTGCACTTAGAGAGAGTTGACTGTAGTAAAGAAAATTATTTTTTTAATATTAATTATAATATATTATTGTTTAGTGACTTAATAATAATTAATATTGTATATCTTATTATTATTTTTAATGATATTTTAAATCTTATATAATTTTATATAATTTTGTTTGATTTTAATTTTCAGAACTATAATATTATTTATAAATATAAATTTTATTTAAAGTAAAAATTTCTAAATTATTTAAAAAATTATATTAAGTAATTAATTTTAACAGCTTTAATAAATTATAATTTTCTAATTATTTTATTTATAATTTAATAAAATAATTTTAATAATTTTTTTAATTAAATATATATATATTTAGTTTCAAAGATTGTTTGCTATATAAAATCTTTATAAACTTAAAGAATTTTTTTAATTTTATAAATTAATTATATAATTATCTTAAAATAGAATAATATATTTTTTGATAAATAATAATTTTAAAAATAAATTTATAAAATAATAATAAAATCTAATATCTTATTAAAATATTGTAAAATATTTTTTAAAATATTTATTATTCAAAAATAAATAAATATCTTATATAATTTTATTAGATCATATAAAAGTTATATAAAAAATATAACAATTTGTAATTTGTAACTAGTTAGCAATTAATTTTAAATTTTTATTAAAATTATTTCAAATTTTACTCAAATATTATACAAGATATAAATAATATTTTTTAATATCAAAAGAATATATTTATATAATAAATTGATATAATTAGTTAAACAAAGATTGTTTTTTATAAACAATAAATAGAAATAGAAATTTGATAAAAAGTATAATAATTTATAATTATTAGCAAGAAAATTTGATTTAATAAAATTTAATTATTATTAAATATAATAAATTTGCTATATAAAATATTATAAGTGAGTTTTGTTAACTAAATACTATTAAAATAAAAAAATTGAATATTTTAAAAAAATTTTTTATTAAATACAAAACCTAAAAAATTAATTACTAATAGCAACTGTTATCTTAATTTTACTTAAGTTATTAATTTTTGCAATAAAAATTAAAAAAGTTTTTATTAGTACTCTTAAAATTATATATCACATTTTCAAATCTTTTTACACAATAGATAAAAAAAGATATAATTGAACTCTGGATAATAAAAATTAATTTGTTTGGTATTTCAAACAAATTTTGTAATTGAATAAAACCATTGTTAATTTTTTTCAAGATTTTCTAGTTACACTTAATATAAGTCTCATGAAAAATAAATAATCAATTATTTGAAATTTACTATAGATTATAGTTTAAATCGAATATATTGAAGCTTTTTCTTTTAGTATAGTATTAGTCTCTTGTTTTACTTAATTATTCTATTATTAGTATCTTATATATCAAAATTTTTCAAAGGTATGTTTTTTTATCTTAAAAATTTTTTATTAAGCGATTATAATTATTCCATTTTCTAATAAGACAATGTAAGATCTTATATTACAAAACTTGCAAAAGAATTTATAAAAAAAAACGAATTAGATAAATAAGTTATCTCAAAGATCAAATTGAACAATAATTTAAAAACAGATTGTATTCTATATTATACAATATAGTGTGTACATTATTATGTTTTTGTTTTTAATGATTTTTTTTAAAAAAAATACAGAATTCCTAATTTTTAATTATAATGATACCATACAATGTACAGTATACGTATATAGTAAGCTATGTAATTTATAGATTAACAATTAAGGAATCGATTGATAATAGATGATACCTTACCTGTTATATTATCTTTATTTAGTATAGAATCAAAAATCTATATTGTCGGTCCGCAAAAATATTATTTAATATAATAAATTAATAGCATACATGCTTCGTATTCTTAAAAATAAATTATTGACTTGGAACAACCTTATAATTAGTATTTACCGATTCGATTAAATCACGTCATTGACGAGATAAGATACTCTTTTCACTATTGAAATCAAGAAAGGAACACTCACAATTTACGCAATTATGATTTGTCAAAGCTTTACACCAATTGAAAATCAAATTAATTTATTGGTGTTTTCTTTGACAAGTTCGGTGATTACAGAAAAAGATCAAATTTTACGAGCAGAACTTCTATTTTTAAAAATCGATGTACGAACCAAGTCTTCCTCGGAAGGTAGTTCTTCATCTTGTGACATATCAAATATTAAATTATATCTATCTAATTGTTCTCCCAGATCATTGTTCATTACATTTTCTTCCTCGTCATCGGATATCACCACCACATCCCCATTTGAATCTGTTGGTTTTATTGGCTTATTAGATGACATCCCTTTGTCAGTTAATGCGCTAGAAGATGGCATATCTATTAAACTAGTTATATCATTAAAAGTATTCTCGTATGTTGCAATAGGGGAAATGTCATCGAAACTTCCAGCCGGTAATTGAAAACATTCCATTGAGGATATAATTGGTGGGGAACTAGTGGGTGAGGTCTCCTCCCTTAATTGTTCCTCATTGGGTACAGACGATTTTTCAGAATTATCTTGTTTTGTGGGATCGCCAAAGTTCATCGATGATGTCACAACAGAATCCCTATTTTTACTCATGTGAGATGATTTCTCGGTCGTAGAACCACTTTGTCGAATTTCATCTTCGACGAATAACTCAAAATCATCCAACTCGATCGGATTGAAATCGTCAAACCCAAGCAAATCATCATCATTGTTGATGCATCGTTTTTTCTCGTTAGGTTTTTCATCTTCCATCAAATCATCTTCGCCTAGTTTATGTTTCAAGCTTTTTCCTAATCCATCACTGTTTCTGAAATTTGAGGAGTTAACATCGAATGCTCCCACTTCTCGCAAATTTGGGCAGATTTTCGCAGGCTCAAAGCCTTCGTCCTGGAAATTCATGAAGCTCGAATCATATTCTATGTCATCCATCAAAAATAAATTATTATCTCCCGTAATGCGATTCTCCATATGAGGCTCGTTCGATACATGTAGGTTTGATGAACTCATGTTAACGTCATCCTCTTTAGAATCAACGACCGATAATTTGTTGTTTTTATGATGTGACTTTCCTTTATTGGAAGAATTCGGCGAATTACAATTTTCATTGTTGTCTTTTGGGATTCCATCATGCATATTATCATTAGTGGACATGACCTGAGAGTTGATGAACGAAATATTATCTAATTCATCTTTATCCCACAACTGATCAAACATATTAAATAATTGTTGCGCATTATTTTTGGACCTTGGGGTTGATTGGATCTGAGATGGTTCGGTGTTTTCAGTTTGTGTTGAAAGTGACGTGTTATTTCGTGACAATGAGATGTTTTCGGTGGAAGAAAACGAGGTGTTCGAATTTTGAGAGCTTCTATAGTTGATGGTGACGTGATTTATGCGATCCGTGGTCATAGCCTTGTTGGATAATCCAGTTGATAAAGAGTCGTTTTTAGACACCAATGTTGCCGCATTGTGATTGCTTGCCGTTGAATTTTGATTTCCGAGGTGTAAGTTTGAATCCAATCCTCCATTACTGATAACATTCGCACGCGCATTTACGCCAACAGAAACAATCGAATTAGAGGAAGAGTGACGACTTTGATTTTCTTCCGAGATCGAATTAGGTCCTTGAACATTTTGTCCTTCACGAGGATATTCTGTAACAGGTAAACTGCATCACAGGAAAATTTGAGAACATGATTGTGCAAGGCTTCTCTGATTACTCCATTAATAATGATTCCTACCCTAAACGTTTTTCTAACTGATTCTGGATATTGTTTATCGACCTTGAAACATTACTAAAACCCCCAAGAACGGAGACCTTTTGGGGTTCAAGACATAAAACTCCGCGCAAAATTAGGGTTCTTCTCACCGATATCTAAATATTGAACTACTTGAAATGTAATTATTCAAGAAACATAACAAAATAACAATCGATTTCTTGACATACCTTTGTACCAATGGGTGTAAGTAAGTCTAGTTGCGACAATGGCTTAAATTCAATAGCGTCAACTATCTGAGTCCCGTCAGTTAAATAGAACTTGAGCATCGCCTTTGGAAATTTAATCGGTTCATTCTGTTTATCTCTTACATCGCTATATTTATGTCCTTCCTTTATGGAACCTGAAAGGTGGCTGCTTATCGTGTCAAATAGTGTTTGGTTCGAAACACCCACTTCAAAGATCTCAACTATCTGAAGAGTTATGGGTCGATTCTCGCCGATAATGGTCTTGTGCGCGTCATCGATGGACAATGGGAGAAGCGGTTTCATCGATTGTCTTAAGTCTGATTCCAAGAATTCCTCGTAGACCGCTTGATAGAGTCTTTGATTGTTCGCGTTTTGGTACTCAGGTTTGTGCCTGAGTTTATCTAAACATTGTTTCAACCACGATTCTTGGAGTTGAACATTGATTTTTTCAAACCGATCTTTCACGAACAAAAACGACATAGATTTTTTGGGGGAAAACACGCTTAAGGAGATCACGCGGTATAAACAATACAATATTTTAATAATTAAATCTATTTATTTTTAATGATCATGTTATTTTTTAAATAATGGTAGAATTTTGAATTATCATTATTACACTATTGTTGATTATTTAATATTCTTTATAGAGTATAAATAAGTCCCGTTTTCGTATGTTTGAGCAACAAAGTATCGCGAAGCGCAAGAGATCAGAAAACATAAAGACAGGATAAATGAAAAGAACCAGAAAGAGAATCTTGACAGGCAATGCGAGTACCTCATGTAGAAATGTCCAGACCACAAACTCATCAGAAACATCGGGTCAGGTCTCAACTGGAAACGCAAGTGCTTCACATCCATTTTGGAACGATCGTACTGAGGAGATATCGAGAAGGTTGTGGTTTCCAGGATGGATTGGTTCTGCAGATTTGCGTACAAGCTTATCGAGTGGATTCTTGGCAAGAACAGTACAAAGATCGTGATATTCAACGTTGATGACACGGAATTCGGTGAGCTTGCCGAGAATCTTCACGGCAAGACACAATGAATCCAAATCAGCTGGAAATCGAAAACGACAAAGAGATTAAAAACACGAAAGATACGGATCTACCCAACGCCCGAAGAAAGTGAATGAGAACTGTAAGATGGACGCACAACAAGGTTCCTAAGATGGTGCAGGACGATGGAATCACCGACATGAGTGTTATACGAAAGCATTACCTGAACGATGAGTGCTTCACAATTGAAGAACTCCTCTGGGTAAGTTCGTACGCGAATCGACAATTGATGACCATATACAAAATAAATAAGAATTTACATGGAAATAGTTTTCGAATGAAAAGGATCGATCACAAACCATCTCGATTCTTGCTAGGGATTGAAATAAGAACAGAGGGAAATACGCATTCCTAAAAAATATTATCACCTCATAATACAGTTAACATAACTGTGAATAATCTGGGACATTTTTACTTGTGTGTTTCCGTTTTTATAGATATCAAGATGATATTCGGAGAAAGGTAATCTCGCTCGATCCAGGTGTTCGCACGTTTAAATTATCCAAGAAATATGACAAATTACAGAGCGACAAACGGAAGAACAAACAAGAGAGATTCCGATTGAGAAAAAAGATGCTACGAATCATAAACGAATCTTTAATTTAATCGATGAGTGCCATCATCAGCTGGCCCGTCGGTTATGCCAAAATGAAGAACAAGCAAAAGATTCGGTCAAAGACTGCCCGTGCAATGTTAACTTCATAAATCGAGGGAGTTCAGAGGTTGCAAGGTCATTTAATGCACCGAAAAGCATACATCAAAGACGTATGTGAATTGTGGATTCGTAAAAAATGATCTCGGCGGAAATGAATCGGGACGCGAATGATGCCAGAAATATCTTCAAATGTTTAAACCGAACCTATATGGAATACGATATGCATAGTAACGATTAACTTTATTTATTCATATTGGACTAAATTGCAAGGGCTAGCATGATTGACTTACCAATTTTGTAACATGCATGCAAATGTAACTTAAAAATTATATTATCATTATTTGTTATTGTGCAAAAGCATAACTACGTATTTGCTAAACGATCTTGGAAAATCCAAGGTGGTTCCTGTTCGAAATAGTATACGGAATATTTCGCTATGATTAACCATTCACTGACAATTGCTACGCTACTCTCACCCTTCTTGGAACTGCACAAAGATAATGTAACGTAGGCGTTATGCAGCCAATTGTCCATTTTGAAAAGTCATGTTAGAGTAAAAATGGTCTTTCATATTGATGAATGGATAAATAAGATGAGATGAAAAATCCAGCAAGTTATTACAGTTGAAAAGATTGGTGAACGATGTTTTAAACGTTACGCAATCGTCCATTACATGTTGTACGATGCTATTTTTGTTTATTAATTAGCTGATGGGGTTTGCCGAAAGTAGACAATCAGTTCAATAATGTTACTTTCTTATATTAAAGAGCCACTTGACTCTTTCATTTTTCGCATTGATCTTATCTTTTTAAAATTGCTTGTTAACTTTCAAAATTATGGGCGGAAAGGTGATTAACGAATCCGTTACTCTACGCGATCACGAAGCACGGCCGAATTATGGTGCAACAGAACACGGTAGTATTTTAACGATTAGGAAATTGTGAGTGGATCCATTCAATTTTTAATGATTCTCCACTCTTATCAAACACGTCGACAGATGACAATTCTGTGTTCATTGAAGACCCCTATATAAATTCCGCAGGCGTCGATCCCAGTGAAAACGAACAGAAAGGATCGAATTGGTCGGCTTACATCAATATCGTGTAGGTTCCATGTCATAATGTCGGATGTCCGATCAGAATTCTCACTTCATTGAAACTTAGATGCTTGATTGCCGGATCGGGAACCCTTGGAATTCCATATGCCATCCAACAAGGAGGATGGTTGTCAGTGATCATTCTAATACTCTCCGCAATATTGTCAATCTATGCAAACATAAAATTGATCGAATGTCTATATCATAACGGGTATGCCTTTTCTGTCACATGACTCTGTAATATACTGTATATATTTTTTTCTAAGTGCTTTCATTCGTATAGGACGCGAAGATCTTCGATGTCAGAGTTAGCCTATTACGCATTTGGAAAAGTTGGACTTTACATTATTTCTTTCTTTTTTAACATCGTTACTTTAGGTTGCCCCGTCATATATCTTATTCTGTGCGGTGAAAATTTTCATTCGCTACTTAGTATGGTAGGAATTGACATCGGAATAAAAAGTTGGGTCTACATTTGTGCTGTAGTTATGTCTGTTCCCTTTATTCTAATGAAAACGATGAAAGAAGCTACTTGGTTAAGGTTAGTCACGTGGTTACCAGGAATCTGATTCCATTCTCTCGTTGAACTCGATTTATGATTTTTTTGCAGTATATTTGGGGCATTGACGACAGCCTTGGTTGTATTAGTCGTATTCTTTACCTCAATTAGCGAATACCCCAAGAATTCACAAAATCAACATGATCTCCTGATCATTCGAGACATTCCTTTAGCTTTGGCCACTTTTAGTTTCAGCTATGGTGGAAATACTGTCTATCCTCATGTGGAAGCGAGGTGAATATATGGTTTATCCATTAGCGCTCCACGAATAATCTCGCTCATTATATCTTTCTTCATGACAGCATGGCAAATCCACGTGATTGGCCAAAGATTTTAAGTCTCGCCACGCTTACCATCACGATTATGTACTTATCAATCGGCATTCCTGCTTACCTAACGTACGGTCGAACCACTCTCTCACCTATATATCTCAACCTTCCCTCTGGATTCGCCACAAACATGTCCGTAATAATGATCACTGCTCATATTCTACTTGCCTTGCCAATCTATCAAACCGCCTTCGCTCTAGAGGTCGAAAATTATATTGGCATAAATGTACAAAACCTGGGTAAAACCAGAGAATTCATATATCGAGTGGCATTTCGATTAGCCACGGTTCTGTTCACCACCTACTGCGCGATTAATTTACCCTTTTTTTCTGATGTCATGGCATTGTTGGGATCGATGGGAAATGGTGTTTTACTATGTATCACGCCAATTATATTTTGGATAAAATTGTTTGGATGGAATCAGTTGAACGGGTGGAAAGAAAAATCATTGGTAATATTCACGCTAGTGTTTTCTGCATTGGGTGCAGTTACTGGTACCTTGGATGCTTTAGATGCCTTATGGAAAGATATTATGCGTGAATGGCCATAAATTGACTGACTTAATGGGTTTAATAGAGACATTCTTAATCTTTTTTCTTTACATTTTGACTATTTTAAGTTCAACAAACACTTTAATACTCGATAATAAACAAAAAAACACTAACTGTTATCTGTGACAGTAGCTCACGTTGGTCTTGTCTTTGAAAGAGTCATGTGAAGTGTCAATTATGTTTGGGAAAATATTAAAAAATATTGGAAATATCAAATATATTGATTACATTAGGAAATTATTATTATACTCTACTTGTATAAACTTCTAAAAATTTAATATCAATAAATAAAATCACGCATTGAATAAATAAATAAACAAATAAAAATTTTTAAAAATATATGCTGTATATAAACACTAATATAATAAATGGTAACTAATTTTTTATGTATTTTTACAACATATTATATATACAGTACATATACAGTGTGATGCAAAAAAAATCAGAATTATATAAAACTTTATAAATAAGTTCTTTGATATCTTAACTATAAGTTTGTTATAAGTCATATATATATATATAATAATAATATTTTTTTTTTTTAATATACTAACAGTTGAAAAAAAAATTAATTCTCAATTTTTATATATACAATCTGTTACAAAAATCTTTGGACTCTTATTTTAGCTTATAATTATATACAGTATAATATAAAAATAATTATTATTTATTTAAAAAAAATTATAAATATTTTCTTATTATTAATTTATTTTTTTTTATTATAAAAAATATTAAATAAAAGATATTTGTTAAACTTTTTATTATTATATTAAAATTATTATATTACTTATTTATAAGAATTAATTTAAATCTATTGTATATAAAATTTTAATTTGAAAGAATATTAAATAAATAATAATAAACTATTGATAATTTATAAATAACTAATGTTTATTTATAAATAGTTAAGCTATTATAATCCTTAAAACTATTAAAATAAAAAATACTTAATTTAAGTTTTGATTATATTGATTAAATTTATAAAATTATAATAATAGCTTTGATTTATTAAAAAATTAGTAATTGAATTTTAATATTATTGTTTGGATTTATGAAATTATATAAATTAATAATTATATAAATTATATTATTTTATTGTAATAAATTTATAAATAATATTATAATAAGTATTTTTATATTTATTTTTATTTATTTTTATTTTAAATTAGACTGTATATCTATTATATTTTTTAATTTTATGCAAAAGATACTTATATATATACTGTATATTAAAAAATATTATAATAAAACTAAACTTATTAATATTATGCAACACACTTATTATAAACCTAAGGTCTTTATATATAATTATGGTAAATAAAAAAATTGCTCAATTCTATTCTAGTTCTTTTTACCAGTTTAAAATATTAAAGCCAGCCTTTATTTAAAACTATTATCTTTACATAATCATTATAATCCTATAGAGATAAAAATTTTTTATTTTTTAAAAAAGGTAAAATAAAAAAAAAAGTCTTTTATATATATAATTTTTTTTTGCTTTTCAATATTCAAAAATCTTTTATATATATATATTTTTTTATTACAAGAGTCTCAAAGAAATTAAAGAAATATACTAATACATTAGAATATAACCTCTAGTCAAAAAAAAACATGTTTAAAAGTATGGTTCCAAAAATTGGAATCAAATAGAATTGAACAGAATCGCATGAGGTTCAGAACACTATTAAAAATGATGGTGGGGTATACCCCACCTATTAAATTTAATATAAACTTGAAAATCGAATACAGAATTGAAGAGAATCGTTAGGATCCTTATTTAAAAGTCTTATTTTTTCTTTGAATTATATAAAAAAAAATTTATGCAGTTATTTTTTTACAAATCTTTTTTAAAACTCTTTTTATTTTTTATTTTTTTTAATATACAATATAAATCTTTTTAAATAATTATATTTTTGTTTTAAGAATTTTTTTTTAATTCAAAAAATTAAACTTTATATCAAAATTATCTATATTATTAACTTAAAAGATCAACAATATACTTAATATTTATTTTTTTACTATTACTTGACTTATTTTGCTGTACTATCAAAAATAAAAAATTTTTATTTAAAAAATTTCTTACTAATTGGCATTTCAAATCCAACTAATCAAATATTATCAAATTTCAAAAACATTTTATATAATCAAAATATTATATAATTATTAACATAAACAAATACTATTTTAATAGTAGTAATTAAAACAAAATCATATTATAAACAAATAAATCAATTAATATATTAACAAAAATATTAATAATTACAATAATAAAATATAATCCAAGTAATATATTAAAAATACTATTATTTACTTTGGACAGAAGCCTGGTTATTTTTAAAGATAGCACTTTATTTTAGTTGAATAAATTAACTACTATAATACATTTAATCCAAAATTTTCTTTATATTATAATTGGTTTTTTTTATATTTTTTTTTCAATTATTATTAAATATCTAATTAAAAATAATATTAATTATTATTACTATTAACAATAACTTAAGAAACAATTATTAAAAAAATATATTATCAATATTATTATATACTTTGAGCTATAGCCTAACCATTTCAAAAAGTATTACTATATTTTAGAAAGGTGAAACTATTAAAACAACATTAAATATTATTTATATATAATTAGTTTTTTTACTATTTTATTTTTGTTTAATATTTTTTTTTTCACTTATATATTTTTTTCAATTTTATCTCATATAATTCTATATAAATATTTATAACTATATACTATATATGGTTATATAATTGATTCTTATCAATATAATTTTTAATTAATTTATTATATTTTTAATAATAATATAATTTTTGAAAAATGTTGAATTCAATTTCACTATATTTATATTTATAACTACTTGATACTATCTTTGATATATTGATTTTAATATTTATTTTCTTTTGTTACTTAGATAGTTTTTGTAAGCAAGTTAATATTGGATTTATTAAACAATTAATTATTATTATTATTATTATTTTGTATATAAATATCTTTTTTTTATTTGGTTTATATATAGCAAAGTATATATCATAAAAGAAATAATATTTTTCATATGTTAATACAATAAGTTAAATGCTAGTTTATTTACAGTAACCATATAACTAATATTAAAAATAAGTTTAAAACAATATATCTTGCTATATTATACTGAGTAGCTATGAATAAAGATAGGTCTTTAAACTATTTAGTATATAAAATTTTACAGATCAATTATGTTTCTTTTAAAAAAACATAATTATTTATTCATTATTTTAATAAAAACATAATTTAAAAAACACTTGGATCAAATGGCTTAAATTGTAAAAAACCTTTATAGATGGTTTTTTTTTGATCTTATATTTAAAAAATTTTTTTTAATAGTAAGGGACATTTGAATTATGTTTTCACCTTTAATTTAAGAACCCATCTTTAGCTATAAATATCTATTTAGTATTAGAAGAGATAATACTTGATAAAAATAAAAGAATATATTTAAAAGAATTATAATTATATTGCATAAAAGAGTTAGTGACTATTATAGGAAGATCGATAATGATTTCATTTTAAGTAATATTAAAGTATAAGTTTTTTGTAGAATTAGTATAATTTTTTTTAATTTGGTTGGATTGACAGTATTCAGTAATTTGCTTGAGTTTTACTTGATATCAATAAAAAATGATATGTTGATAATATTGCAGCATGGTTTTCAAATTGAATTATATAACCAAGCTAAGAATTTTATTAATGTCTTGATCCAATTGGTAATACCTGTTGTAAAGAAGAATTAAACAATTAAAAAAAAAAGTTTGCATTGATAAAATAAAAAATTTTTTTTGAACAATCTCTAGTTTAATTACTTGTAATTGGATTTTTATTCAATTTTTATTATTTTAATTATTAACCAAAAACATTTAAAAATACTTTTAGAAAATATTTTTTGAAACTTTATATTCAAGGATTTCTGATCTTTAGAAAGAATTAATATATTATTTGGTGATTTCTCTTTTAACCAATTTTTAAAAAATTATAACTTTATTTAACTAGTGAATAGTTTCAAGATTCCTTTTTTCAACTATTTTCAAAATAATTAACAATAAAGCTAACTTATTATTAAATTGGAATAAGATTTTTCTTTAAACTTAAAGAAAAATAAATCCAGTCTATATAGAATTCTTAATAATATCATTTTAGTATTAAGTTAATATTGAATTTAATATAAGTCTAATATAGTGAATTATAACTTATATATTAAATTTATACCAAGTTGATACTATTTTGGTATTCAGTTTGGAACCCTAGTTTAAGAAAAAAGAAAAAAAGTATTAAATTACTTCTTTTATCAAAAAATATATTTCATTATTTTGCTTTTTCTATTATAACTAATCATATTATTAGATAAAAGTTATACAAAATAAAATATATGAAATTTATATGTCTTGTTTATATTTCTTGTTATATATACAGTGGCAAGCAAAAGAAACCGATCACTTAAAAAAAATTAAATATTTGTAAATATCTTATTATATTGTTAGCATGTAAAAAGGTGATAGAAAATAATAAGAAAAAAGGTATAGTAAGTATATCAAGTATATCAAGTATAATA